AGAAGCAATTTAAATATGTTCAGGGACCATTTTCATCTCCAGAATTAAGGATTATTTTAATGTTACATCATTGCCTTTTCTCTTTTATTTTCCTTTTTAGTTTTATTTTAGGATTCCCTATTTTTAACGTTCATACAGAGATTTCTTTAACTGAAATACCGAATAGTTTCTTTGGTGCGAAAAACTATAATAGTACACAGGATCCTAATGAGACAATTAATAATGTGAAATAGGAAGTAAAGGGCTAAAGGTGTAAGGAAAAAGTGGGAAGGGTGGGGGAAAGGTAATAAGGGAGAGGAAAAAAATATGAGAAACTGAAAAAATGGAAATAAAGTGTTTGTAATGGGGAGGGGAGGAGGGGGTGGAGGGAAGGCAGGGACAAAGGGAAAAATGAGAATCAAGATCTATTATGTAAAGGTACAGAATCCCAATGATGAATGTAATTGTATTGTATACCTAGATTGTACCAATAACCTCAATAAAAAGAAAAAAAATAAATTAAAAAAAAACTGAAAAAGAAAACAGGTGTTATCATAAACAGCTTCTTTGGACTAATATTAAACTTTAAATGTATATTATAAATTTGAAAATAGTTGATATCTACTAACTATCACATGTAATCTTAAAATAATATGCATTTTGCACTGCCGGCGATCAAACTCAGGACCTTGAGCTTGTGAGGCAGGCACAGTGCCACTAAGATAAATCTCTGGCCAATAATATGCAAATATATTTATGTAATATATTTATACAAAACATTAGTATGCTAGAGGATTGTTAAAATGTACAAGAAACTCTGAAAGCTCAGTTATAAGAAAATAAGCTAATGATTTTTTTTAATGAACAAAAAATTAACACATAGCTTACCAAACACAAAGGTGAAATTTAAGCATAGGAAAAATGTTTGATATCATATGTGATCAGGGAATTATAAATTAAAACTACAATGACATACAGTATAAAACTATGAAAATGGCTAAAACTTAAAATATTGACCACCCTAAGTGCTGGCATTAATGTAAAGTGAACATTCACCCATGGTTGGTGGGAATGAAAATGTTGCAGCCATTTTGGAAGACAGTTTGGCAGATTCTGACAAAAATGAATATATCAAATGATCCAGTATTAATAGCACTACTTGGTACTTAGGCAAATGATTTGAAAATTTAATTCCACAATTACCCTGCATATAAATGTTTACGGAACGTTTTTATTTATGATAGTCAGACTTCGAAAGTGACAGACTTTTTACAAATGCTGAATGGATAGACAATCTGTTGTACATTCAGACAATTCAGGCTAACAAGCCACAAACAAATGGGGAAGAACCTTACATTCACATTCCTATGCTAAAGAAGCCAAACTGAAATGTGATGAACTGGGTGATTTCAACTACATGATATCGTGGCTAAGCTGAAACTATGGAGAAAACAAAAATGATGAGTGGTTAACAGGGTTTCAGGGAGTAAATTGTGCCCTGAAACTGGTATACACATGTTATTATACACTTGACGAAATCCACAAGTTAATGTGTAATGGATATTAAGGGTTTTGGTCAATTATGCATTACTGTTGGGTCCTTGATACACTACAGTAATGAGAGGTATAAGTTGTAGAGAAGTCCATGGCTGAAGCGTAGATATATGTGTGAACTACTCTTTCTTCTTAATTTTTGTTGTAAACTTAAAGGTACTCTTTAAAATTTTACTACACACACACATATGCACGCACTTGTATATATGTATATATGTATTCTGGGATAGATAGATAGATAGATAAATAGATAGATAGATAGATAGATGATAGATAGATATGCCCTTGGTTTTCTGAGGATTTTTATATTAAGCATTTATTTATATGTGCCTTCCTCTATATGTGTCATTAGCTGCTAAATATCTTTCAAATAATGTGCAATGTTTCACCAAAAATTCTTCTCCGGTCTCAGGACAAAGAGAAAGAATCACCTATACTGCTGTTTTTATTCCTCTTAGAAAACAAAAGGCAAACAAGCCATCATTTTCCCTTTGAGAAAAATTTGTTTCAATATTCTAGCCTTTCTCTTCACAGGTCTCCTGTTATGCACCACTCTCCACAACACCCTATCTGTGACTTCATGGAGGAGAGGCCAAGGATGGCATTTGTAAAAGAGGAACAATGCCAAAAAGACCTAACTCTCCAGAGCAGCTTGGCTATAATTGCTAATACAAAAGCAGTGTCTCAGACAAGCTCTTCTACACAATATGTAATTTTCTCAAAATCCCTGTGTAATGACTATCATTATTATAACTATTATTTCAATCTGTAAACTCAGATACAGAGAGGCTTAAGAAATAGAATAAAATAAACTCATCAGCATGTGATGCAGATGTTTCTGTTTCCAAAATCTATACATTTCCCATTACACAATGTTCATCTTATACTAAATGTACTTGAGAATGAGCTTGGGCTTAGTGGGTTTTATAAGAAACAAAATGCTTACTACAAATCAATCACCTTCCACTCAGCCTATATTTTCACTAACTACATTCCATTTTCTAACTTTTTCCTATACATTTGTACTCAAGATATTTTCTAGAATCTCTTGTTATAAAATAGTAGTGATTTTCTATTTTTAATTCAGAAACACAATTTCCCCAAAGTATAAATAATTAACCCCTCTTCTATCTCCAAGGACAATAATTCCTCTGATATCTCCAAAGTTTGGAAAAACCCTCCGAGTTTACAAATCTGTGAAAATATTTATTGTTGAAGATAGGAAGGGGAAGAGATGTTTCCACCACTTTACTCAGCGTAGCGAATAAATAAATTAGCTATGGCAAAAGTGCATTTGCTGTACATCTCAATGTTGCTAACTGCCAATAGCAGTGCTAGTTCTACCACAATTTGCATGCCACAGGTCATTGTTTCTGAAAAATAAATTAACCCTATGATCCCAGCAACTAATTGAACTTTAATGAGTATTTACTCACAATATCACTTGCACTGGCTGTCAGGTGGCTTTATATTCAAATGTTTTATCTTTCTAATATTCAAGTAGTTCAGATATAGAAATCAGCAAATATTCCACAGCATTTTAAATCATTTATAGTTTGAATACACTATACCCTGCAAATACTTCATTGACTAAAGACACCTCAAATATACTACTTAAAATATTATATAACTTAATTATTTTAAGTAAATTTAATGTGTATTGTACCCTTTATTCAATATCTTACCTCTGATTCTAACTCACAGATGACTTCATTGTTGTTTTGAGAAATAGATTCTTCCTTTATATCTCCTGATATTTGTTCCATTCCCTTTGCATGTTGACCATGAACAATGTCAAACTGAAAAAGAAAAAAAAAACTAAAATCACATGTTTCTATAAAGTCTGGCTCTAAGATATTCCACACTACTCTCATTTTTTTAGGTCTTCTTTTTTCCTATGTAGATTCTGGCAGGATATTTTTGCTGTTGTAATTTTTGTAGTGGAAGCTTTTAATATAACTGCAGTTGAAAAATATTAAGTTGTATGAAAAAAAATCAGCAAATCTCCATAAAATCCAATTCATCAATTGAAAACTGAGCAACATTCAGTTACCTTCACAGATTTTTGATGATGGACGATTTCTAAACTAATCCAATTAATCCTGATTTTTATTCCTGAATATTAATTAGTACCTCAATATTTTTATAATCCTATTCATGTCTATTGTCAGTAAATTATAAATAGTAGATGATGGTAGAAACAAATTTAAACAAAAGAAAAAATATATATATATGGTGGCTGGGCTAGTAAAATTTATGCAAAACATCTACAAAAGATGTCAGTATCTTACCATAAAAAGCTGCATAAAAGTTTATGAAGGTGAGAAAATTTGTAAATTCACTGATTACATCCCAACAATATAGTAATAATAATAATGTATCCCTTAACTAAACAGGTGTTTGGATTATTCATGTGTATACAATGTCATGATAAATTAGAATATAAAAACTAATATTATACTGCTTATTTAAAACATTTTTAAATATTCATGATATTGTCAATGTTAATAGTAATATCCTCAGCTCCAGGAACTGAACTTGATATATAGTGACTTAGTTAATGCTAGTAGTAACCTTATATATTATGTATAATTAGGATTATCCCTACTATATGGAAAAAGTGAACCATAAAGAGTCTTAAGCAAATTTTCCAAAATTCTCACAGCTAATAAACAGATGAATCAAAATTTAAGACTATATTTACTGAACTAATTACCTGAGAACTAAACCAATACTGCATCTATTGTTACAAAGTCATTGAAATAATTTTCTGAAAAGCAACAACCTGATAGGAAGAGAAATACAGAAAGCATAGCAGAAGATGTCAGCACTCAAACCAAATAAAAATGGACTAAAGTAAGAAAAAAGCTAATTTCTCAATGAACTGAGCAGAGAATCAATATTCAGGACTGAAACCATTAAAAGAGCACATGGAAAGCAAGGAGAACTTGAGCTAATACTACTGATTTTTATGAATGTCTATCTCTGCATACCTAAGCACTATCATGCAAGTTAAAGAGCTAGTGTTACCTTTAAATTTTAGGCCCATACAAAAGAAGATTCACTTTTATAAAAAGAATAGGAAGTAGCAAGTGTAAAATGAAGTCAACTGGTTGGGCTGGGTTCACCAAGAGAAAATACGATTAATTCTGCTAACTCAAAGCCGTTAGTATAACTCTGGAAATCTTGAAGTTTAGTGCAGGGGGAACAATATCAATCAGTAAATTATCCCAATGTCAAAAGGAGACAATAAAACAAATTTCTCTAAACAATGGGGAAAAATTCACTTTAAACATATAAATCATCCTACCTTCATTCATCAACTTGAGTGGAAAAGTCAAAGATCTCTGAATATGTGAAGAATTAAAAACCAAGAAGGTTTAAAAAAGGAATGATTAAGGCCAACAAGAAAAAACAGAATGTCTATTATACAGAATATCTGATTGTGCAGTGAGGAGATATTAAAAAGATGATATGATGTAATATAACAATATAATGGCAAAGATGAATACAGAATATAATGAAGGATGCATTATTTATTTTTTCAAAAAAACACTACTGTCTTAGGAAAAAAGTTAAGAGTATCAGTTTCAGTTTATCACAGAACAATTTTAAAATTTTTAAGATAACAGATTGTTCTTTAGGAAATTAAAAAAATATATATTTTCTTATATCTTTAGAAAAATTTACTAAACAAGTTGGAAGATGGAGAGGCTTAGTGTCTCAAAGTTTAGCTCTTGTCTTGGGGCTCTTTATGGCTTTACTCCACCAGGTGGCTCACACGTCCTCCTGGCACTGCCTTCTTATCGAAATGCTGGCAGTCTCCAAACATTTATCACCATCCTGCATTTGGCTCCTGCATTTTGAGTGTCAATGTCCAACCTCCTACATATCACGCCTAGAGACATCCAAAACCTATCACATGGAAATGTCAAATTCAGAACTCACATCTGTTTCTTTGTCAATCTTGGGCATCTTAGCAAATAGCAACTATCTCTCCCTTTGATCAAGCCAGCAATATTGAAAGTTAACTCCATTTTCTCACATGCCAACAAATGAAAAGCAAAGTGACTCAGATTATCCCTTGTAAACTATAATACATCCAGTTCTCTCTACTTCCAAGTACTATCGTGATCAAAAACCCACAGGGTCTGTCATTTCAGTTATGCTAATAGTCTCCATAATCACTGCTTCTCCCCATGGCCCCACTCAAAACAGTAATCAAAGAAAGTTTTTAATTCATATCATGCTACCCTCTGCTGAAATCCTTTACTATCTCCCTAATCCATATGTCAGACTCCTTTAATCTATTTTCCTATAGCCCCTCTGCCCTCATCTCTGCTTCTTGCCCTTATTCTACCCTACTCCTTCTTGCTGTTTCTTGTATAATCTCAGCACACAAGAGAAAAATAATAAATAAAATATTGCACAGACACAATTATTAAAACAATATAGACAAAACTACAGCAAAGAAAAGTAATAAACAGGTCATGGAAACAACTACTTTCTCTTCTTGAAACTAAGTTAGTTTTAATTATTCTAAAGTTACACTTTGGGCACAAAATAATTTTAATCTTGCCACTAAATTTGCAACTTTAGTTTTATATTAATGAAGTTGTAAAAAATTCTATTTAGCAAACTAAAAACTTGAAAGCAGTAAAGTTTTAGATACTAAAGATGATTAATTTAGCAGCATTATGAATGTCATCCACAAATGATATATCACATTAGTTAAATTGAAAATGACAGAAATAGGGAATACTGGATAAAGTGAGTCATCATTAGAAAGCAATTTCCAAGTTCATGTCCTTTCATTTAATACCTATTTAATGTATTCTCTAGTAAGCCTTTTTTCCTCCTGAGGATGCACCATAATATAATTCCAGAATTACATTTTAAAACTCCTCTTTCCATACTGCAGTGTTTTTGAAAACTTAAACTGGGCAGTTTGCCATATCTCTGACTTCAAAAATATCTGCCATCATTTTCTTTGGGAAATTTAGCAATATTTTATATAAATCTTCATTGTATATTCAGATATACATGGAATGGAAAATCTACAGATGATATCTTAAAAAACCAAAACGATAGTATACATATAAATAAAATATTTTCCTACATATTACACATATATATATATATATATATATGATTGGCAAAGCAAAATTTATTTCAAAAGGGCACAAAAATATAACCTAACATATTCTGTTATTTTTATATTATGTCTCATTTTATTTGGCAAAGATTAAGAAATCAGACTCCAAAATTTTGTTATTTGTGAAATAGTATATGGAATATTTATGTCAGTATCATTAACAATGCAACATAATTCAATCTGCCCTAAACCCCAAGCCCGCCATTTCTCCATAGAGGATGTTGTAGCTTCATTCATGGAGAAAGAAAAGCTATGCATAATAAAGCTCTCCAGCTGCCTATTGTAAAAATTAAATAACTGCATCTCTATAAATCTTTGCTCTTGCAAAATAATTTAAGTGACTGTCCTAGAAGTAAAGACTAATCATTCCATTTGCATTTGGGATTGATAGCTTTGCGATCCTTGCCAGTCTAAGAATTTTTGCTTTCTTTTATATAAAGTCTCCTTGCTTCTCCTCATTAAAACTTTAGTGCTCAAAATTTTCCATTTAAACTGGGTTTAAGGATGTGTGAGAGGTCAGAATTACAAGATCTTCCTCTATTCTGGTCTTGTAGCTTTCCCTCCAGCTCTGTCTTTCCTCTGATTATTAATACTTGAAAGAGGTTGCTACATTCACCTTTGTCATATAGTCCATCTCACCCTGTACCCCACTGCCCTCTATATTTGTTAGATTTTCCAATACACAATATTCAGTCCTCTCTTATGCAAATGTTTGGAAAAATTTGATATGGTTGTAAGATTGTCTTGTTCATAGTTTCTTCGGCCTTTCAGTGCAGACTCATACTAGTGATTCTCCAGAAAGTTTTTAGGCCTTCAGCTTTGGACCTGAGCTGCATCCTTGGTTCTTCTTGTTCTTCATGTTCCAGCTCTTTTAACTGAACAACTGCTGGATTTTTTGGCTCTTCATCATTCAAACAGCCATTGTCGTTTAAAACCAGGGGGTCATTACCACTGAACTATATCCCCATTCGTTTTATATATATATATATATATATATATATTTCATATTTGTATGAGTAATTTTATGTTATACTTATTATATTGGTTATCTTCCTCTAGAAAATTTTAACCAGTACACCTAACATTTCCACCTCAATTTCTTTCTTTGTTTTTGTTTGTTTGTTTGTTTGTTTTGAGACAGGGTCTCACTATGAAGTCAAGACTGACCTGGAAATCACTATGTAGCCTAGGCTGGCCTCAAACTCACAGTGATTCTCCTGCCTAAGCCTCCCCAAGTGCTGGGATTATAAGAATGCACCACCACGCCCAGCTCCACCTCAATTTCTTTTTCTTTTTCTTTTTTTTGGGGGGTACTGGGGATTGAACTCAGGTCCTTGTGTTAGCAAGGCAGGCCACCGAACCGCTGAGCTAAATCACAGGCTCTCTACCTCAATTTCAAAACAAATGTAGAATATAATTCATTGTCTTTCTCACTAAATTATTCTTCCTATTTATGTGCCATTTTGATATTGTCCACCTTATTGAAAAAGTCAGAAATTTATTAACTTCTTCTCTCCCACTTTGTTTATATACCCAAACAGTCACAATTAACCACCAAAGACTAACATTTATTTTTTTGCCTGCAACTCTTTTTATCTTGCAATTCTCCACATCACTTCCCTCACAATAAGTTTGGAAAACTCA